TTTTGTGTTTTAGTTATCATATGGGGAAAAGTTCTGTGGTTATCCATCCGTCCTGTTCGAATAAACCCAAAGTTCAGGAACATCTTCTTTAGATATGTTCAGTTTTAATCATGTGGCACCACTTAAACAGTCAAGTATGTTATATTGTGAGGTAAAGACCCCAAAGAGTTAATCTCAGACAAATGTTCAAACAAATGTGAATTGCGTTCACTTCATTAATGAAGTGAACGTAATTCAGTAATCAAAGGTGTTTGGCTATAACTGACTACATGTGTATACTGTACCATAAGTGGACAGACATGGATGTAAACCACACCTTAACCATTTGGCTGACGCAAAACTACCACAAGGCAGTGATTCTAACTAAAAGGTACTCTGGATATTATTAAATGTGAACATATCGTTAAATATGACATTTTTTGTTTGTCAGGTGTCCTGTTTGAAGAAAACACCTGGGAGCCCCTTGAATGAATGTAAATAAACACATTTACATGAGGGCAACCTGATTTCAAGGAAATAAAAATGCTCAAATTTGAAAGCTTGTGAGTTATTTTGTTCATGTATCAGCTGTTTAGTCGTTTTATGACAAGATGGATGCTGTCGTTATATTTTAGTATAGTTTTAGAGTAGAGGAGAATAAAAGAATATTTAACATTAATTGTACCAATGTTGTTGTGTACGAAGCACAAATTAATTTAAAAAACCCGATGAAGCAAGCATGAAGGAGAACCGGGCCCCAGACTTCTAGAGGACCACTGAAGGGGCAACGTTTTTAACATTTGACACAGCTGAGCGGCCGTGTGTTTAAGGAACGGACTCAAAAGCAGGCACAGGAGAAATGTACTGAAGTTTAACCAAAAGTGAGCCTTTATTGTGGCTGACACAAAAAACCAGGCAAGATGACATTAGGGCGAAACAAAACTAAAACCTAAACTGGGAAAAACTAAAACTATCTATGAAAATGATGACAACGGACATGGACATGAAACTGAACAGGAACATGCAACCAACGTAACTATGAAATAATCCAAACTAAGGTAACGAGGGAAGTGGAGACACAGCTGATACAAATGAACATTACGCCACAAGGGGAAGTAAAACAAAACACACTGAACATGGAAACACTGGACTCCTCGAAATAAAGCAGGAAACCTGGAGAGACTGGACACGAGAAGACAAGCTTGATAACCTGAAACACGCAGACAAGAAACACATGAAAGACTGACACAAAAGACAGAAAAAGACTGACAAACACGGGGACATAGATAAAACCTAAACTAGACTGAAACTCAACTGTGTGGGACGGAGAGATTTCGCAGGTCTTTCCTCCCCACTGCTGTCAGACTCCATAATAAAAACTTTAACTGATCAAGCACACACATCCATACATATGCAATAATACTAAGTGCAATAATCCTTTCTGTCATCGTTGTATTCTTACTCAGTTGTATATAGCATTTGTATTCGTATTCTATTTTTATCTTATTGTATATTTATTTTATTTTATTCTACTGTATATAGTATTTTATTCTATTCTGTACAGTTGTGTACTGTATTTATTCTTATTGTATCCTAATTTTTGCCTCATAACTTTTGCACTGTCCACTTCCTGCTGTGACAAAACAAATTTCCCACGTGTGGGACTAATAAAGGTTATCTTATCTTATCTTATCTTATCTTAACTGACTCCTTACTAATAATAACCAAACAAGAAGTAAACAGTCTTCCAATATAACATAAGAAATCGAAAATACACTTAAAAACGTGATTATGAAAAATTTACAGTGAGTTGCCTACAGGTTTTATTGCAGCTGATAAGTAGCAGACACATACTTGGTGCTCATGCCTCACATGTCTATTTGATTGTGCAGCTCTAACAGCAGTGATCCAAACACAGCAGACTGTGCTGGCAGCAGTGGGAGAAGATGCTGAATTCAGCTGTCAGCTGTTGGAGACTAAAGACGTCCTTCAGGTCACATGGCAGAAAGTCTTACAAGATGTGGAGACAAATGTTGCCACGTACAACAAGTACTTTGGTCAGAGAGTGAATGATGGCTTTAAAGATAAAGTCAAGTTTAAATACACTGGACTACAGAACTGCTCCATAGTCGTCAGGAATGTGACGGAGCAGGATGAAGGCTGCTATCGCTGTCTGTTTAACACTTATCCTGAAGGAGCCTTCACAGGTAGAACCTGCCTCCAAGTTTATGGTAAGAACTTTTACATTCTTTAACCAACAACAGGAGACTAAAAATAATATAGTGATGTGATGATATTTCCTGATCCTTCACAGAGCTGCATGAACCTGTTGTTGGTGTCAGAGAGTCAAACTCTACTGAAGAGTGGGTTGTTTCCTGTTCAGCCACTGGTCGACCTGCTCCCACTGTAACACTCAGTGTCTCACAACAAGACCTCAGCTTCTCACAGTACAACACTGTCAGTGTGTCCAACACCAACGCTACATTCACTGTCACCACTACAGCTGTGCTCTCAGGTTCACGTAAACACAGCACACAGGTGGGATGTGCAGCACGAGTGCTCTCTGCTCCTCACAGAGAGGTGATGGTGACGATTCCTGATGATGATGGTAGTGGTGATGGTGATGATGATGATGATGATGATGATGGTGAGAAACTCTTTTAAAGTCACTGATTTATAATTGATGATTACACTGTGATTGTAATGTTTCCTTTTTTTTCAGGTCTAGATGAAAACTTTGGATCTAAACGCAGAAATTTAGGTGAATTCACATTTGTATGTTTTTGAGTTCAGTTTTTTTCCATCTTTTTTTATTTTATGTTTGAATTAATTTTTCCTTCTTTCCTCTGTTTTCTCAAAAGCAGTCAGGATTTCAGTCATTCTGTCCTCTGTGTTGCTGGTTGCCTTTAGTTGTGTTGCTGCATTCATCTTTGTCCATCATAGAACAAAATCTCACAACAGGTAATCCTATTAAAACGTGTCTGTTTTGCATTTTCTCCTGATAAATGTTTGTGCAGCTTTAACTGTTTTAAAATGTTTCAGTTTTTCACACAGGAATCTCAAGATAAATAAGACACCTGAAACTAAGATCAGAGACAGTCAGGAGTAAGTCACTCTTTATCCTGTTTTTCTGCACTGTTGACATTTTTTAATCTTCCTTCGGGCTCTTTTTTATTTTCATATTTCATTTCTTCTAATAAGTGTCCATAGTCCTCTGTTATCATTTTCATTTCAAGCCTAATCTAACACTAACCACAAACACTTAAACACTTAAACACTTTCCTCTGTCCAGGCTATTTCTTTACTTTAATCATGTGATCAAATAAAACTATTTCTTATTTTCATTGAAGGACTGAAGCATCTTTATTCACAGCAGAGGGCAGCGAGGTCAGAAACGAAGGAGAGTCTGAGAGAAATCACCAAGACAACAACCTGATGTTCTCATCAGAAGCAGCAGGAAGACTGAATTTTGAGCAGTGCTGAACAAATGTATTGTTGATGTGACTGGAGATTAAAAACATCTTTGTGTTATAAACCACTGATGTGATTATGTTAATAGTTTACCGACAGGTTATTATTATTATTCAGTTATCATTGATGCTGATATAATGATGCATTGTGTCACTTTACATGTATGAAATGAAGATTTAAGTATTGTTTCAAGTTGCCGTTTAGGTGCAGATATGATGCAGCGGGTGGAGTTCAACATCAGCGTGTGACGGCTGAAATAGTTTAGGATCATCAACCTGCAGCTGACTTGCAAATAAATGTGACCAATGGCTAAAGACAGAGAGAGAGAAACCACGCATCTAGTTCATGCATTGGTGGTTAGACTCCGATGGTCCAGCGCAGCAGAACACAATCACAGCTGTGATAGCGATTAGGGCAGGACCCCCAGAGTATAGATGCTGGTGGTGGAGATGAAGATGGAGGCTTGAATGGCACCTGAGAGATGAGTGAAAGGTGGTGGTGGGGGGTGGGGGGGGAGGAGGAGGTGGGTTGTACGAAGGCATCTGAAAAGAAGAATCACAGATTTTAAGTACATGGAGTGAAGGCTGATTGGCCTAAAGAAGGAGGGCTGAGTGCTGATTGGACTAGACCCGTGATGTCACAACCAGCTTGACAAGCATGTGAAAGTGGAAGTGATGTAAAACTTACATTAGCTGCCAAACACCTGGGAAGCAGACAGACGTGTGACTACAGAGCTTCCTTAGTGAACTTAGGCATAAGCCTCATGATGGTCACATGAAAACCACCAAGCTTAATGTTTTTAGCTGATTTGTTAGTGTGTGTGTGTGTGTGTGTGTGTGCGTGTGCGGGTGCGTGTGTGTGTGTGTGTGTGTGTGTGAGAGAGAGAGAGAGAGAGATGCAATGCCACTCCCTGAAGTCATATGTTATCGTGTTACTGCCCGCTCTATTTTTGAAGTATTAGACAAATATTGGAAGAATTGACAGTGTTAAATCTTAAACCTTTTGTTGGATGATAAATAATGTCTTTTCATATTTTTCTAATCACATGCCTCATTCCAGGAGGGATGTTTGCTGTAACTTTGTCCTCGCACACTGACAGTAAAGCTGTCCTGTCTTAAATTGTCTGTTGGGACATGTTTGTTTGTTTATTTTGTTTTATTGTGTGGATTCTTCTTATCAATGTTTGAAGCATTTTCCAACTGTATTCAAAATACGTAATTATTTCATTAATATAATAAAAATATATTTCACGTATTTCAAGGCAATGGCCACACAACAACAGCATGCAACAGTCATAAATGGATAATTTAGTGATATTAGTCCATCTTACAGGAGGAACTGGAACAGCAGATTTTTGTGACTTCAGACTTGAACATCTAACACTAACATTGTTTTCATATTAACTAAATGATGGCAGGTGTAACTGCAGTGGAGACAAAATCCAAATTGGATTCTAAACTCATAGTGTTGTTGTTTAGTCCTGTAAGTTAGTAGCAGGAGAACTGAACTGATGGTGTTGCTGGTTCAAACAAGTCATGTGGAACAAAGTAACCTTTAGAGGAAAACTGAGTTTGAAGCTGCTGAACTTTTCCTCTCCTTTAATATAGTGAAAGCAACATGTTTCATCTACATACATGTGCTGCAATCAGAGGACTCTTATGCATTAGAGTGATAAAAACTACAAGCTGAGCGTTAATGAAGGAATGAAACTGTGGCGCCTCCCCGGGGATGAAACAAGATACACAGAAGATTTTACAATCTGCGTGTCATTCTGCAGACCCTCGATCCTCCAACTATCTAATGAAGGTAATGCGCTGTGACAGAGTTACAAAATGAGAATATTATCTCTGACAAACCTTTGATGGCATTCATTGACACATATACTGTCCATTAATCTTATGGGCAGAAATCTGTGCCATCAGAAACTGAATTTGAATAAGTTAAATTTGAATTTGAATTGCTCAGATTGAATCTGAATTGTAACTTGAATAAATGCTTTTGAAAACTGAATTTGAATTAGTCTAAATTGAAATTGAATTTATA